TCAGACACAGCCACAAAACCTCTTATCCAACAGAGTTAACTATCACATTTAGGTTGTTTACACACTATCAGTTTACGGTACAAAATATTTTCATCTGATAAAATGTCAATTTAGAAAAGCCAGTTGAATCAATAAATATGAATGTCTTATACATTAATAGAAATCTCCTTAGTTAAATCAAACTTTTTGTAACTGTCTAATTTAAATAAGATACGATATAAATGGTAAAGTTGGCAATAAATCCTCATAACAATAAAATTAACAAATTAAAACAAAACAAATAAAGAAAATTTACTTTAATTATTAAATCTTCTAAATTTTTTTCATCTTTCCAATCAATAATTAAATGTTCATCATTTTGTAAAAATGTATCAAATATATGAATCATTTTTGTAATGAAATTTTGTAAGCGTTTCTCATTTTGTTCAAGTTGATAATTGGATTTCTCTTTTTCTTCTATTTGTTTACTAAACATCAATAAAGTGAAATATTTACCAAAAAAATTAATAAATAAATTGTTTAATCATAACAGGTAAACTAACTAGACTAAGTAGATTAAGTTTGTGCCGATGATGTCGTTCAGAAGAACGTTGAAAGCTCCACGACCAAACCATCCAGCTCAGAGAACAAAACTCCATCAAAAGTAAGTAGTTGAGCAACTAAAGTTTATATAATTTGAGTAGATCATTTAAGTTAAATAATGTAGATGTAAAATGTTTAAATCTACTCAAAATTCTACATGTATTTATGAAGTTATTTCTTGGAACATTTTTGCCGTAAGTTGTTATTTATTGGGTTTTGGTCTTTTTTCCCGATGATACGTTTTTGGAATTTTTCTAAGTCAGATAAAATATATATTTCTCAATGTATTTTTTGTTTCATTTTGTTGATTTAACTGTGATATTCTTGTTTTTTTATCTAAACGAGTTAAATTATTTAAGGGTTTCATTTAATGCATTTAATCTGATCAACATGTGTTTTAGTTAGATGGTACCAAGAGGTTTATCTTTACCTTAGTTAAATAATAAACAAAGATGTGTTAAACTGCCACCACATACTATAATATATATTTGCAAGCCCTGAAATGATCAATAATAGAGTAACTTAGATTTACAAATAATTATATTTCGATAATGATATTAGAAGACGAAGATTATCAGAACTATGTGATATTAGTTCTGATAATCTTCGTCTTCTAATATCATTATCGCAATTTATCAAAGGGACTAATTGTTTTCAATAATTATATTGATATACACATGGGACTATGTTGATTAGGTTTTATTTCATAGCAGAGGATGTGACAGAGACGTCAGTTAGTATGACATCACATTGATTAAAATTAACAGAGTTAAGCATCAACATTCTGATCTGATAGTCAATCAGGCAGAAGTTTCCTTACCTTAACTTTATTGATCACATTACTATGAAACCTGAATAACAGTTTCCTTACATGTCGAATTGAACAAAACAAAATAGCTAACTAATATACCTGCTGTCACTTCAGGTTGGTTAAGAATATATGAAAAAAAATTATTTTGCTTAATCATAGTTGTTCGCAATTCTAGAACATTTATTATTACAATATTTCTGAAATTCCAAAAAACATAATATTTCAGTGGCAAAACGGCTCTGTTTTTCCGTTGATCGTATATTATTATTACTTTTAGTGGCTTCATTCAATATTATATCTTTGGTACAATATAGAATTCTCAGCACAAACTGTTTCAACAAGTTTCCTTTTCTTATTTCTTGATCGAACCTGAAGTTAAATATTTGGTAGTCGCCAGTTAAATGTTAGCAGTTCAGGAGTCGATGTCTGAATAATGTATATTCTTATCGATGCATTCTTCCAGCAACCACGATGTCTCTGATTAAGCTCTTTTGTAACTTGTACAGCGAAATGTCGTATACTTCTCATGAACGCACCTGAATAGTTTGTGAGACTAATAGGCATAATGATGTGTTAAAACAAACAAGAAAACAAATAACTTATAGAAATATCCAGATGGCAGGAACAGGTAGCCCAGATATTCAAGCAGACCGCTTTATGTAGAATATAGCCTGTTTGTTGCTATTCTATCAGAACATTCCATCACACCCTTTTCTGTTTTTTTTTGTAGCAATAAGTAATTATTTTAATATTTTCATCAGTTTCTTCTATAAGTTCTACATCCTGCAACTATCAGCCTCAACTTAATATCCGAAAAAATGAACTGATAATTAAACATAGCAGAAATATAATTAAAATGTGTCCAATATTCATTGATTCGAAAAAACATATTTCAATAAAGCACCTTTTTAATTAAACAAAATGATAAATTACTTTAAACGCTTTTTCAATTCATCTATCTTATCTTGTTCACTTTTCAATAATTGATTTGATTCACTCAATTTTTTATTGCATATTTCATATTCAGTAATTTTTGTATTAATGCTTGTTGTATAATCATTTAATTGTTTTTTTAATTTTTCATTTTCAGATATTAATTCATTGTTTTTATGGGTTAACTTAACAATATCTGTTTCCGCTTTAGTTAACAGTGTTGATTTTGCTTTTAATTCACTTTCTTGATTTAATGTCTGTAAATTCAAAATAAAGTATCCGATATTTCATTCATTTAACATTGAAAATTGAATGTTCTATTTATTTTAAAGACTTAAAAATAGTTCCTTTTATATTTGAGTGTCAAGAATCACGAATAATATGAATCATAGTTATACTCAAAGGTATGGGTGAATTACTCTCATATGATCATCTGAATTATGAATATTGTGCAGTAAGATTTAAGCAGATTTAACAGTTTGGAAAGTGATAGTAGAGGAAGACATTTTTTCATACAAATTTTCATTAAATTACTGGAGCATAAAAAGTGATGCTTTCTTTTTCCAAAAAAAACTGTTACCAATTTTTGTTAGATTCTGCTTGTTTTGTTCTAGCAGATTTTATTATAATTCTCATTTATTTAGTTGATTATTATGGAGTCATTAAGAACCAGGTGGTATTGAATAGGTATCTCAACTTAGTTTGAAACTGTTATCACAAAGTTAGTTAAGTTAACTTGTCAACTCTGAAATAACTACAAACAATGTAGAGTGACTATCATCTTATAAAAGTACAAACAATAATAGCTGAGTTGTAGTTGATCAGATGATCACTATGAAAATAAATGTTCTGACAAAAGTATATTTTATGCTTTAGAATCCACTTCTATTTTCTATATTGATAATAATAAGTTGCCTAACAGTATTTCTCTTACATTTGATTTAATATTCCTCAACAGACAAGTTGTACTGGATTAATTCCCCTTGAATACGACTTTTTATGAACAAATAAATGCATTATTTTACTGAACATGTTTTAATTAGTATGACTAGCTGACTTGATTTATAAATCGGCCCTCTATCTATGGACTGTCATTAATTGAAACAAGTCGTAATATTCTGCTTTATGATCAATTGTTACTCGGTTATACTGTATCATTTTATAGCATAACCAATCGAAATTCTATAGATCATTGCAGAAATTCAGGTTGTAGTTATAATCCATAGTATGAATATCACCTTTATACTGGAAAAATCTGTTTCGTATATTTTATGCTCAACCATAAAGTGTACCATTGATAATAAAAATTGTTTACTTTTTCACATAATTGTCCAACCTTGCTTCGTAATGTTGCAAGTTCTTCACGTTTTATACTTGTCTGTTGATATTGTTCATGTTCTATACTATTACTATGATCAGTAAGTTTCTGTTCGGTAGATTTAACTTGATCAATATCCATGCTAAAGGAATTAGAAAATTGACACAAATTAAAATATCGAATAATTAGCTACCTGGATAATTTTTGAATTAACTCATCCTTTTTAAGGATTTCATCTTCATACACTTTAATCTTTCCCTCTAACTAATAAATCAAAAAGTAAAGAAATCGTTTTACTAATAAGCTTCTACAATATTAAAATAATAAATTTTAAACAAATAAAAATTTACCTTTTTTCTTAATTCACTTAACAGGGTAATGCTTTATTAAAATTTTATACTTTAGAACAAACTTAATCACTTACTTACGCCTGTTACCCTTCGTCCAGAAGCATAAGCCACCCACCAGCATTCTCCATCCAAATCTGTTCTGGACTCGCCTTCCTACTTGCTTCCTATTGCTATTCATCCTTTACATGTCTACTTCCAATTACCGACACAATGTGTTTCTTGTTCTTCCAATTGTTCTTTTACTTTCAGGATTCCAAGTTAGCACTTGTTTCGTGATGCACTTCGATAATTTCCGTAATGTATTTCTTATTCATATACTACATCTTTTACTTATCTCCTCTTCAGATGGAAACTGGTCTGTTCTCTCAAACAGTAGACTGTTGTTGATGGTTTCCGGTCAACGGACGTTCAGTAGCTTACATAGACAATTGATTATAAATATCTGTACCTTTCTGACGATGGTTGTGGTAGTTCTCCAAGTATTCACTTACTTAACAGGAACCAAACTATCTATCGGAACTAAAATTCGATGACTGATTGTTTATGGCGGTTTATAAACAGAAGGTGCGATCATACAGCTGGCGAAGATGGCTAGAATAAAGTGATCTAACACTGCATTACGAACCAAAAATAAAGTACTTAACAAGATATTTTGAATCTATGAACCGATATTTCCATGAACCGAACTGAACTTTACTTGTCATTACCAAGTCTTGGATGCGAAATATCAACACCGAAACTATCTATCGACTCAGTATATCACATTTTGGCAAACCAATTTTTTGATGAAATAATGTCTGAACAACTGTTCACTTGACTCATTGGTGTACTAATTGATAGTTTGGTTTTTGCATGGCTTCCTAGATGATGCAATGACATTTTTGAAGAAATACCAGATTATTTATTTATTGTTATTGTACATGAACAAAATATCGGGGCGGCTACTTGGTATAACTGCGATCACGATTGATTGAACAAGGACTAACACTTCTCGATATAAAAAACGCATCGCTGTGTAGCGGTAAATAAATCCCTAAAATAAATAGCTCTGTAAGTTTTCGACATTGGATGCTGACCATATGTTTTAGTGGACTCATCTAGCTGAAGGCGCTCGGTCAGGCATCCGCACCAGATCACGTGTGGTAACGCCGTGCTCAACATCAACCGCAATCGCTAGCCAGATTAGATCAGAGAATTCCGATATATTGGTCATCGCCAAATATACTCTTCCGATCTCCTCGACTCTGTCTTTTGATTTCTCTGGGTGGGAACGAAATATATTAGAAGGTGTTACTGGTAGAAGCGTTGTCAAACACTGAATACCTGTGACATCATCATTGGTGAAACCGACGTGATCTGGTACACCTAATTGCAACTGTGAGTCTGTTCCTTTTTGGGATTTTTATATATCATTGCCTTATTTTTTATTTTTTTTAAACATTGTGATTTTTTTTCGTGCTTTTTCTTGGATATATATTTTTTCCCCTCGTTCATTATCATACTTAATATTTCGTCATGACTGAACAGACACCTAAAGTACTCAAGCTTAAGACTTTGTCCCCACCTTCGTTTCAACTGATGCCTTTCTGGCCTGACAACATCGAAGCCTGGTTCTGCTACGCAGAAGCCGACTTCTCCGAGCACGGCGTGATCGACACACGTGCACAATTCCTCGCAGTAGTCAAGGCACTACCGCGCGAATTCAACAGGTACGTAACACCTAGTATGTTTACTAGTGATGTTTCCGATCCTTACGAAATCTTAAAACGCTCGATTCTTAAACGAGGAGACTTAACCGATCGACAAAGGTTAGATGAACTCTTCAATAACATCGACCTGCAACACGGTTCTGCGACAGACATGTTGCGACGGATGAGAGAGATTATAGGCCCAAGAACTTTCGATGAAGGTCTATTCAAACAACTCTTCTTGTCAAAACTTCCCCAACAGGTGCAAGCAGTTCTGGTCTCGTTCCAGAACAACGCGTTAGACGAACTAGCTGCATCTGCCGACCGCATTTTAGAAATTACGAAACCTTCTACCACCGAGGTATTTTCAGTCAAAGAAAAGCCTCACACGACTCAGAATGATATAACCGACTTATGTCACACACTCACGCGTTATCTTAGTCTTAGTACCGACCGTAAGAGATCGCGCACACCACGTAGAAGCATTTCTCGTAAGCGATCTGTCTCTAGACCACGAGAGACAGATAACCCCGACTGGTGCTGGTATCATAACCAGTATGGAAAGTTTTCCAGAAATTGCAGAAAACCCTGCAATTTTCCCAACACGAAACCGACTGATTCGAAAAACAGTTCGGGAAACTTCCAAGCCGGCACGCGTTAACGGCAACCGTAGCCGGCGAACATAGCCGTCTGTTATACGTCACAGATGTGACAACGAGAGTTCGCTACCTCGTCGATACTGGCGCAGAAGTTAGCGTTCTCCCAGCGAATCCCAACGATCGGCTTCAAGATTCGGCTCTAAACTTACAGGCGGCAAACGGAAAACCGGTCGCTACGTATGGCAAAAGGTACGTTTACCTTAACGTGGGTTTACGCAAACCCATCCACTGGATTTTCGTTGTTGCAGATGTTTCTATGCCAATCATTGGTAAGGACCTTCTACAACACCACAATCTGATCATCGACACTCGCAAACGGAGGCTAGTAGACGGAAACACTAATTTGTCCGTTTGCGTAACTTCTTTTACTGGTTGCAGAGTATCCCCAGTCACAGTTAAGCATATGATAGACCCACTCTATCAGCCACTACTCGATAGGTACCCTGGGATACAACAAACTCAACCGAAACTACCGTGTGTAACCAGCAATGTTACACATCACATCACGACTACAGGACCACCTGTATTCTCTAAAGCACGACGACTAGCTCCTGAAAAGCTAAGGTTAGCGAAAAACGAATTCGATCACATGATGGACTTAGGAATCATACGACCGTCAAGTAGCCCATATGCATCTCCGTTGCACATGGTCCCTAAAAAGGACAGCAACGATTGGCGTCCAACTGGTGACTATCGGCGACTGAACGCGAAAACCATTCCCGATCGTTACCCGTTGCCTCACATTCACGATTTGACAGCTACCTTGAAAGGTACAACTGTCTTTTCGAAAATCGACTTGGTTAAAGCGTATAACCAAATCCCTATGGCTACTGACGACATACCGAAAACAGCTATCATAACTCCCTTCGGACTCTACGAATTTTTGCGAATGCCTTTCGGTCTAAGGAACGCTGCTCAAACATTCCAAAGATTCATAGACGACGTTTTTCGAGGTCTCAACTTCGTACACGCGTATGTTGACGACTGTCTAATCGCAAGTCCGGACAGAGAAACACATCTCAAGCATCTGGACCTTGTTTTCGAACGACTTCAAAAACATGGCATAACTGTAAACGTTCAGAAATGCCAATTCGGAACCGACTCGTTAGACTTCCTAGGACACACTATCGATGCTCAAGGCATTCGACCTCTTAGGACCAAAGTGGCGGCCATTCTGGATTACCCAGAACCGACCACCGTCAAGCAATTACGCACGTTCAACGGCCTCGTAAGTTTCTATAGACGTTTCATACCGAAATGCGCATTACTTATGAAACCGCTAACCGACCAACTTCGTGGAAATGCGAAATCCATTAATTTGGACGACAACGCACGAAAAGCATTTTCCACTGTTAAGGAACTGATTGCTAAAGCAACAATGCTCGCACATCGGGACACCGAAGCACCCATTATTATCGCAGTAGACGCATCCGACTCGGCAATCGGATTAGTTTTACAACAATGGGTTAACAACTCCTGGCAACCCTTGGCATTTTTCACTAGAAGATTGCTAGACACCGAATCAAGGTACAGCACATTCGGTAGGGAGCTCCTAGCTATGTATTGTGCTGTACGGCATTTCCAACACTATATCGAAGGTCGTGAATTCACTCTTTTCACCGACCATAAACCGCTCACTTTCTCGTTAAGCTCTCCTTCAGACAAGTACTCTCCCCGTGAGTCTCGACAACTGGACTACATTTCGCAGTTTACTTCAGATATTCAACATATTTCTGGAGCAAACAATGTAGTTGCAGACGCCTTATCTCGTATAACTTCCTTGAACAGTTTCCAAGGAATCGACCTTCTTAAACTCGCCGAGCTTCAAAAAGAAGACAGTGATCTTCAGCACGAGTTATCGTCCACAACACTTAAACTACGCATCAAACAGATGGGAACAGGTAAGGAAACCTTACTTTATGACACATCTACAGGTAGGGATCGCCCAATCGTGCCGAAACATTATCGACGCAATGTCTTCAACACATTGCACAAACTTTCTCATCCAGGTGTTCGTGCAACCATCAAGCTTATAGCAGAAAGGTTTTGCTGGCCTGGAATGAATAAAGACGTGAGGGAGTGGGCACGCTCCTGTGTAAGCTGCCAAAAATCTAAGGTCATCAGACACAATAAATGCCCCTTAGGCTCGTTTAAAACTCCCGATGCTCGTTTCGACCATGTTCATCTGGATTTGGTAGGACCTTTACCAGATTCAAATGGATACTCTTATCTCTTAACCTGCGTAGACCGTTTCACTCGATGGCCAGAAGCAGTACCTATCAAGGACATCACTGCTGAAACAGTGGCCCGCACCTTCGTCGAACGATGGGTAGCAAACTTCGGTTGCCCTTCAACCATCACTACAGACCGCGGACGTCAGTTTGAGTCCGATCTTTTCCGTCGTCTGACCACACTTTTAGGAATCACTCGCTTCCGAACGACCGCCTACCATCCACAAGCAAACGGGTTGGTAGAACGTTTTCACCGACAACTGAAAGCTTCGCTATCAGCTGCAAACGTTTCACAGTGGACCGACGCTCTTCCACTCGTCTTACTAGGTATCCGCAATGCAGTGAAAGCTGACATTGGATACACTGCGTCTCAACTCGTTTATGGAACGACACTTCGACTTCCAGGAGAATTCGTGGATCCTTCATCCTCTTCAATGAACATGGATCTAACCTCCTACACGAACAGGCTTACAAACGCAATGCGTTCAGTTAAACCTGCTTCCACTCGACCTCAATCAACTGATGTTTTCGTTCAACCTGACTTACGATATAGTACACACGTTTTCGTTCGTCGAGACTCGCATCGACGACCATTCGAATCAGCATACGAAGGACCCTTCAAAGTTCTTCAACGTGAATCTAAGTACTATATAGTCGATAAGAACGGAACCAACGATAGCATCAGCATCGATCGCTTAAAAGCAGCGTATTTAGAAGGAAATCCTATCTACGTGGATTTTCCTTCGGTACAATCGAACGACACGACTCCGACACTTATAATACCTCATCCGACAACCAACACACACGATGATACTTCGACAGTATCCGAAAATAAACTTAAAACGACGCGTTCTGGAAGAAGGGTGAGATTTCCAGAACATTTAAACGACTATTGCACGTAAGGCACTTCTCGAAATTTCATATTATTTTTTTTAAAAAAAAACAATTTTAATATGCTTATATATTTTTTATTTCTATTTAAAAAAAAAACAAAAAAACAATTTTTTTAACGCTATTACGTGTTCATGAGTTTATTTTCCATTTTTTATCCGCCGACATTGTGTTTTTACGCACATACGAGTGTACTTTCGACATGCACTTACATTTTATTTTTTATTTTCCAGGACGGCTGGAAAAGAACGATGACGTTTATGAGGATCCGAACTTTTCATTGTACATTTTCTTTTTTTACTATGTTGTACCACCGTCCCATATAGTAAGGAAAGACGACCAGACGCTGCTACACTTAGTAAGCTATCAGAAGAGTGTTTACCAACCACAAAGTCGTTGGGTTTAAACTTCTGGCTGGCCACGTCTTAGGGTCATCACTAACCCACTAGGGGGGAGTGATCTGTAGCGGTAAATAAATCCCTAAAATAAATAGCTCTGTAAGTTTTCGACATTGGATGCTGACCATATGTTTTAGTGGACTCATCTAGCTGAAGGCGCTCGGTCAGGCATCCGCACCAGATCACGTGTGGTAACGCCGTGCTCAACATCAACCGCAATCGCTAGCCAGATTAGATCAGAGAATTCCGATATATTGGTCATCGCCAAATATACTCTTCCGATCTCCTCGACTCTGTCTTTTGATTTCTCTGGGTGGGAACGAAATATATTAGAAGGTGTTACTGGTAGAAGCGTTGTCAAACACTGAATACCTGTGACATCATCAGCTGCAGACAACAACTAATACACACCACGAAAAATTCTACGACAGATACAACCACAAATTTTAACACCGATCAGAAAAATATGTCAAAGTAAGTGGAATTATAAGTGACTTATTTATTTGGCCAGTAGACATGTTTGTAGTTTATATATATATAAAGGTGAATAATTGATTAAAAATTTGCGACTGACTACATCAAATAGATTGAACTGCAATAACTGACAACATGAATTACTTAGTTGTATGCATGCTGCTTACTAAAAGTGAAATCATCATTATCACATAAGCATAACTCCTTGGATAATATAAACCAACTATATACTTCCTACATTATTTTCTATCATTTAACCACTAAGGACCTAAGTATAATACCAACAAATAGAGATAGAAAAAATTGTTTATTGGAGTCAACTGTCGCTTTTAATGAAATTATAACTTGCAAAGTCCTAAACATTGGCATTCTGAAGTACGTTGGACAATTTTATACTTTGGAAGCTAAGTATGAGTTCAGAACTATGGATTATTCTGAAAAAAAATCAAAACTACAAAAAATAGTTGTGATGAGGTTGTAGGTCATACTTACTTCCTTTATTTTCGCACTACTTTCCATTATCAGTTAGAGTGAGCGCCATATAAACCCTCGTGTTTCCATGTTTATGGGCACATAAACAAATCAAAAGTTGTGCGACTATTTGTAATAGAATTTATTTTGCAAAAAAAACCTATGAACCTCATAGTTTTGTATTTCACTGATAGAAATGAACTTCATGGTTGGTATTCTTTACATAACTGGATTAATGAAAATCTCGCTTTTGATAATAAGTATGTCTGGACCATTTGATTATTTTAACAGGCTTGGAATCATTGTGAATGGAACATCTGGAGTTTTTGCTCGAAGCGTTCCGTAACTAGTAGTATAGATCTGTAGTGGTATTGGATCCTAACCACACGGTCTTAGAAGCTGGACGTACAATTACTAAGAAGATTCGCTTTTATATTGTAACACTAAGAGAAGTTTAGAGATGCTGAACTCAGAAGCATTCATTAAGTTGGATGACAGGGTTGAACTTTGCAGACGTGGTCGTTATGTGAAACTTATTATTATTATCCACATTGAATATATTGTTCTATCCCCAACCCAAATGCGTTCTTTAGAAGTACGAAGTATCATTTTCTCAGTTGTCACGAACGATGAGTCAGTGTATAATATAATAATACAACCTCCACGTAAGATTAGGCTGAAAGCATCGTGCAGTATCATATCACCTATAATTGCGGCACATAAGCACTTTCCAACTCATATCTCAGATGTTTATATTACCATACAAGTGAATGCAGGTCACAAATGCGGCAAATGTTTGTATTTGACTTCCTTCGCTCAAAATTACAGTAAGAACTCAGGCATACAAATAAAAATGCTCGATCGAATAAACGCTTGACAAACCATCATGGGATTCTCCGTTGAATCCTTTAGAAAGTATAAAATCATCTCCTTTTTCCGAGGAAGTTTCCAAAACAACATTAGATGGTAAGAAATAATAAGACGTCTCCACTCTTGAAGGGTTGTAGTTATGTTCACAGGTTGACCTCCTACACCAGACATCTAACCTTAAGGTTTTACACCTCAAATCAAAAACGTACTTACACGTCTTGGATTATCTCCAAAGGATCCTGAAGTGTCAAAATCAATTATCAAACCAACCCCGAGTCTCTAGTAGCTGTAAATATTCACCCAAGGTAAGTAGCGTTGACATATTTCTGTACCGATCTTGCTGGACTCGTCACTAGCTGAAGGCTCTTATTCAGGGGTACAAAACAGACCACATTTCAATGTATCATAGGGCTTATCTAATCTGGTAACAAACTAGCATACGATTTAGACGTCGCGGTGTCTGTTTACCACAAACGTTTTCTAAAATAGCACTTCAAATTTGTTGGTCCAACATTCAACACCTAATTTAAGACCCCAGGGGATTAAGAAACTTTAACGTTGTTCGGCTTGCGATACTTCGAATGGAGATTTATCCAAACAGAGAACGCAGTTTGCTTTTATCCAAAAAAATACTTTGTAACTTCTAGACATAAGTGCGAATCAATTATTATCCACCAGACTTGAAAACTTATTTAAGTCCTATAGAAGTTTTTTGCTAGCTTTACATCGTTGCCATGAAGAAACACGTGCATCACTAAAGCAGGTGGCCTTTGTGAATAATGACAGGCCTACTCGGGTTGGGAAGAAATAGTTTGACCTGGAATTCGTCGAAATCAAAACTCGAAATCAACAGATCACCTAGATAATGCTATCATGGTGACCATGCGAATTAACATCTTAAACGACTTGCTAGAACAAACGCTCTCAATAAGCATCAGCATATGTTAGTATCAACATGTTGTAGAAATTCGTATGGAACTAGTGCCGTATGAGACTGTTCGTGACACAAAATTGATTGATACGTGTTGGTTGTGGTTGACAATAATGAGGATCAGTAAATTGATTGGCATTCACTGCCCAATGGATGATTTGGCTACGGCACGATTACCTTCCATTAGCCCCAAAAACATTAGGAAAGAAATCTAAGGTGAAGATCGCTTACGAATTCCAAAACGAGCGCTGGCCTCAGCACTTATTCCTGAGAACCTCGCCAAATCTTCTTCCTTGGAAGATAAATAAGTTCCTTAGACAACTGCAAACGGAGCTGCAGACAAGAACTCTACATCTTAACAGTGTACTGAAAGAAAAATCACTGACTGGTAGGACAATTGCTCTGACTTCCTTTGAGTATTGAAGCGATTTGACAACCTCGATTTTTCTAGGTCTAAATACTGGGTGAAGAAATTGGTCACCACACAGATTTGTCAAGATAGCAGAATATTGAGTGTGCAGCTGGTGTGAAACCGAGTATGAACCAATTAGCAGACCAACCCCACCCATTACTTCGGTTTTGTTACTACTAAAATGTAAATGTGCTTTTTGTTTGTTTTTCAACAAGAGGCTTCATGGTTGATCGGTCGTCACCAAGGTCCTCTAGTTAGTAGACTAATTATTGCTTATCAATGTTATGTCATGTATTGAGGTATTGTAATGTCTTTGAGAGCATTTGGGCCTTAGATAACGGCCGATGTCTAATTGTCCGGAGTGCCTAGCTGTCACCAGTGATTTTCGCTGCATGAGGGACGGTTTGGTTGCCTGCTGTCTACAATCTACGAAGTCAGTCGCAAACTGTTCAGTCACATCACTAGCACTAGCCTAACTAAATGTATCAATATCTGGAAACTTCTGCAGTTTTCACTGGGATTCTGGTAAATTAAATGTAACATGGCAGAGATACGCAAACTGCAGTGTTCGGGCCTGTTGGGGCGTTTACTTTGGTAGAAGATTGAGTACAGGCTGAGTAGCAGGTAAAGTGGATTTGCAAGATTAGAAAATTTACCGCACTTCGCTTGGTCCACAACGTATACAATTATACAGTGGCAAAAAATAAAATACCACATAGTGTCGAAACAATAAAAAATTCAGAGTCCTTCCTGAATGCGAAATATTTGGTAAGACGTTTTCTTAGAAAGATCTTGAATATATTTGTTGTCGGCGTTAGGTTATAAGGGGTAAAGTTTCTTCGACAAAATATATAACCAGTTTAAAGGAATGCAACCATAAGCACCATAATAATTGTAAGATCCATTTGGAATGTTTTGTGTATTTGTGAAAATCCCTCCATGTGCATCCCTGCTCTTTGTTCCTATTGATTTCTTTAGTTGTACATTGTTAGTTTTGGATTACACTTGAATAGCTAATATTTGTATTTTATTATAGTTTTCATTTTCACTACACCTCCACTAATTCCCCGTGTTTCTTCTCGAACTGCACTTATGTTGTTTTACTTTATACTCAGTTTGGCGGCAGCCATATTGGTTTGTTCCTCCTTTTGATTGCTTTACCTGTGTTGAATGGAATTGTGCATTTTGGTTGTGAATTAAGGCACTCTTCCAGAATTAAAAACACTCTGTGTTATAGAGCGACCAATTATTACCTTTTGAACGAATCAGTACGTGGTCTATCCAGACGGCATAGAATAACATTTATTTGTTGTGATTGATTTAATCAATTGAACAATTATTGGTTGGATAGCTGAGTGGTCATATTTATTTAGAACCGTCATCTTACCCAATTACTTTGTTTTGGTTTCAACTGGGCAAGGGCGCGTATCTAACTCATCCAGACAGCTGTCCATTAGTCCAAACCGTAGTTTGGATCAAACAATAATTGCTATGAATTTCAATAATTTTTGACCACGTTTCTCTTCTATCT